GTGACTCCAAGGGGGGCCCTGGTGAACAGACTTTCCCCGAGTCCCTGCTGCTGGCCCCTAATAAGGTTGGAGGCAGCCACAAGATCCCCCTTCAGTCTCTTCTTGCGGAGACTGAAGAGATTCAGGTCCCTTGGCCTCTTCTCATAGGGCTGGCCACGGAGGCCCCCAACCATACGAGTGGCCCTCCTCTGGACCCTCTCCAGGTTCTCCATGTCCCTCCCGAAGTGTGGCACCCAGAACTGGACACAGGACTCCAGCTGTGGCCTGACCAGCACCGCATAGAGGGGGAGCAAGACCTCTCTGGACCTGTTAGTGAGGCCCCTGTTGATGCATGACAGGGTGCGGTTGGCTCTGCCTATTGCTTCGTCGCATTGGCGACTCATATTCATCCTGGAGTCAATCCTGACTCCAAGATCCCTCTCTGCCTCTGTGCTGCTGAGAGGGTCAGCCCCTAACCTATAACCATAATGCTGGTTCCCTCTCCCCAGGTGCAGCACCCTGCACTTGTCCTTGTTGAACCGCATCCTGTTCAGATCTGCCCACTTCTCTAACCTATCCAGGTCTGCCTGGATGCGGTCCCTGCCTGCCGGTGTATTCACTTTACCCCACAGCTTGGTGTCATCAGCGAACTTGAACAGGGTGCTCTCCACACCCTCGTCCAGGTCGCTAATGAAGATGTTGAACAGCACCGGCCCAAGGACCGAGCCCTGGGGGACTCCGCTGCCCACACCCTCCCAGGTCGACATCGACCCGTCCACCACCACCCTCTGGGTGCGCCCCTGGAGCCAGTTTGCCACCCATGTGACTGTGCATTCGTCAATGCCGCAGTCCCTCAGCTTGCCCACCAGAATTGGGTGGGACACTGTGTCGAAGGCCTTCTGGAAGTCCAAGAAGATGGCATCGACTTCCTCCTTCCCATCTAAGCTCTTTGTTACCTGGTCATAGAAGGAGACCAGGTTAGTCAGGCAGGATCGACTTTGCACGAACCCATGCTGGTTACCCCTCAACATCACGTCCCCTGCAGGGCTCTCACAAATGTGGCCCTTGGTAATTTTTTCAAAGACCTTCCCCAGGATAGAAGTGAGGCTGACTGGACTGTAGTTGCCAGGCTCTTCCTTCCTCCCCTTCTTGAAAATAGGGACCACACTGGCCCTTTTCCAATCCTCAGGGACTTGGCCTGAGCACCAGGAGTCCTCGAACAGCCGTGCCAATGGCTCCACAATGACACCAGCCAAGTCTGGAATAGATTCGAAGTGATGATCTCTAAAAAAATTATCAATTTACACAAGTCCATAATGATTTTCCATTTTCATCTCTCCTTCAAATGACATTACAGGGACACCACTGAAAATTTCCAAGCCTTAGGGACACCTAGTACAATCACCTGAATTCCGTCTTCATGGCCTTGATGACTTCTACAGGGACTCTAAATTTAGAGGTTTAGAGCACCTGCACAGCTCATACATTTCATAGTGTTTCCTTGATTATCACAGCCATCTTCAAGCCCTGGTTCTGAGCCAGCTTTACCCCCCACCCCACCTCACTAAACACAGTCTGCTCCCCGCATAGTCACTTCCAGATTTGCCTCTTTACTGACTTTTGCAACTTACAAGAGTTGATCTGGGTTTTAATGGAATGCACATCAGACCTGTGGCTTCTGCTGACTTACTTTAGAAGGAAGCAAAGGTGGGAATAAAATAAGACTTAAAGTATATTGCCTGTGGGTATGTTTTCCATCTTATAAGTTGTGTGGAAATTCTGTGATCTGTGTCATGCATCCAGGGGGAACAGTTGAGATCAGGGGTAGGCAACATTTTACCATTCATGGACTAAAGTAGGTGGGCCACTGCTGCCGCTTTCCTTGATGACAAATCCCCCAGCCACTACTGTCACCTTTGATTCCCTCCTTGCCAAATTGCCACCATCACCCTGGCTTCCCATGCTGGTTAAAATAGCTTTGAGGTCCCAATCCAGCCTACAGTTCACAGATCCAACCCTTGATCATAAAAGTCTTCTGCCCTTAGTATCTCTAACTCCATATTGTCCATGGAAAGAAAACTGGGTTCATTTAAGATGACTTTAATCAAATTTTAAAAAACAAACAAACCTTCATAGTACCTTAAGTTCTGGGAAATCTGTACCTAGGGCATTTTCAAATAATTCTTTTTCTATATCAAGAACTATTTCAAATTTTCCCAGAAATTCTACCTTTTATTTTTAAACCAACATACTTGCTTTAAAAATATTAGAGTACAACACACTTCCACCCTTCGATCAACAACGAGTCAGTCATGTACAATACATTAAACATTTCTATTATTTTTAATAATTACTGTTATATTTTTACACTGTATCCCCTGCACAGATTAATATATACTTAAATCTCTTCCTCTCTTTCTCATCTACCTACCTACCTCAAGCCCCCTTTTTCCTTCCTTAGTGGTTTTTTTATTGTATGTACACTTTTCTAAAGGCTTTAGGAACTGGAAGTTATGATGTACTGCATTTACATACCTCTATGTTTTACTATTTTCTTAAAATTCACAGAGTTAATGGTATAGGCACTACTGGTATATAATTGATAGCCTAAGAATGAGAACTTGAGAAGCAACAATGTGGCCAAAGTACAGGTCTCAAATTTTGATTTAGATTACTTTCAAAAGACACAAAGGAGACATTTCTAAGCAGAAGATACAAAAAGAACCTATTTTACATTAGCTGTCAACTTCAAGTGACCTAATAAACGCACTAAAATTAGCCAAGGGTTGTCTTCCATTTGTTTGTTTTACCAGAATTCAGAGACAACAGATATTTACCATTGGAGGTGGATCCAAGGTGGGGAGAGGGGGGAAGAATACAGTGGTGCAATTGCACCCTCCTTTGATTCCTACTCTATCCAAGCTTTAAAACCAACTGCCTGGGAGGGGCAATATCATTTCTATTCAGGCAGTGCTGAGGGAGCCATTGACTTCATGGTTCACTGTAATCTACCTAATTCCTGGTAATTTCTCTTTACTTCACAGGTGTTAATGACTTTCTCTCTTTTTTAACTGTCTTGATGGTCCATTAATCAAGCTATCCTTTCTTTTGCAATTCTCTTGTCTGTTAGCCATTCCTGGTAGTATTTCACTTCTACTTTACAACCCTGCAGATTGTTTTTAGTTCTAACTTAAAACCTTAACTCAGGTGTGGCAGTATTAACTCAGGTGAATATTAATTCAGATTTGGATATGACTAACAGTGAAATGTTGGATGCACTGTCAAGATGCTCAAGAAATTTAGATTTTATTGTATGAATCTCAATAACAGATGTATGTATATTTTGTAGCATGAAAGAGATGTATGTAGCAAATTAGTTCACATTCCAATAAAGTTGTATTTGGTTTTGCTTTGATCTTAAACAGTATAGAGCTAAGTCCCTAGCTCAGGGGTGGGCAATATATGGCCCGTGGGTCAGATCTGGCCCACAAGGCCATTCTATCTGGCCTGCAGGGCCCCTAAAAGAGTTTGGAAAATTAGTATTTCTCTGCCCTTGGTTCCTGTCAAAAATGAGCAGTAGGACCCAGTGGAAGCCCGGTGAGCTCCAACAACCGCAGGGCCCACCCAGCCCTGCCCAGCCTGGGTTTCTGTGCTGGGAGCACATGGCTGCCTCAGTGCAGGAAGCTCAGGTAAGTGGTGGGGGGGGACCCCAGGCAAGGAAGGAGTATGGGGGAGGGGGAAGCACCCTCTCCCTGCCCACGCCTGGTGCCCTGCACTGCAGCTGCTTGCAGCCCGTGTGGGGCTGCCTGTGCCTGCTCTGGACAGCCCCATGTGGGCTGCAAGCGCCTGCAGCATGGGGCTCCAGGCATGGGGTGGGGGAGGGGCAACTCCCCCCCCTCAGCTTTTCCCTGGGCTCCTACCCTGCGTGGAGAAAAGCAGTCCCTCACCCGCCTTATGGCTGATGCCCCACACTGCAGGCGCTCGCAGCCCGCACAGGGCTGTCCAGAGAAGGTACAGGCAGCCCCAGGCAAGCTGTAAGCGACTGCAGTGCGGGGCGCTGGGCATGGGGTGGGGAGGGGCTGCTTTCTCCACCCTCCCCACGCTCAGTACCACTTTGTAACCTGGCCCCACTGCCAGGCTGGCAGTGAGGTGGGTTATAAGCAGGTGCTGACCGCGGGGAAAAGTGGTCCCTCGCCCGCCTCATGGCCAGCGCCCCATGCTGCAGCTGCTCGCAGCCTGCCTGGGGCTGCCTGTGCCTGCTCTAGACAGGCCTGCGTGGGCTGCAAGCACCTGCAATGCAGGGCACTGGCCATGGGGCAGGCGAGGGGCCACTTTTCCCCACGCTCAGCACCAGCTTCTTCTCTGCTGGCGAGCAGGGGGCCGGGGCTATGTGCTGCCCCCCGCCTGTACTGTGGGGCTGGGGGGCACTGAGTGTGAGCAAGCAGGGAGCCACTGGGAGCACAGGGCCTTCACCAGTGTCCCGGGGCCAGTGCCACTGGGGCCCAGAGCAGGGTGGCAGGAGCACGGGGTCTCAGCTGGCAGGGTCTCTATGGAGCCGGGCCAGCTCCCCCTTCCCTGCTGGTGCAGCCCAGCCCAACTCCATGGACCCCTGCCAGCCTGCGCTCTGCTTTGGGCCCCACCAGTGCTGGCCCTGGGACATTGGTCCCAAGACATTGGGACATTGGTCCCAAGATGGTGACCAGGGGGAAAGGCACCTGTCTAGGGGTGGGGCACCTGTCAAGGGGCAGGGCTACCCATGCTGCCCTTGACAGCCTACCAAAACCGGGTAAGTGGCCCTCTGCCCAAAATAATTGCCCACCCCTGCCCTAGCTTATTAGTAAACCTACAAATTTCTCTTCAACTGAAGTAAAATATTTCATGTTACGGAATGATGGACTATACCAGGGGTGTCCAACCTTTTTGAATGTGGGGCCAGATCATTAACTTTTTATCACCCAGTGGGCTGGCGCGCCATATTCAAAGACCTCACAGGAAGCGGTATCACATCACCCCCCCCAAAACGAAAGTATAGTGTTTACTTTTGTTTCCTGTTGCGGCACCTTGGGCCTCAGAAAACAGCTTAAAAGGCCGCATGGCAGCCCGTGGGCTGTACGTTGGACAAGTCTGGACTATACCATCTGCAGCACCCTTTTCAAAATCCTAGATCTACCCATGTTTACTAATCCTTTCCACTTTTGAAGTGATGGTCCTTAATGCATAGTGTTGTGCTAAGCCCAAAAGCTTGCCAATAAAAATAAAGAATATAAGCCATAAATACATACATACATTTGTATGTGTGTGTGTATACATACGTGTGTGTTCATTAAAACATGTCTTTTACCCAAAGTTAATTCACTATTTTTTAATTTAGACATCACAATGGCTGGACATCCACATTTCTCCTCAGTGCTCCCATCACTGACAAAGCCAGAGCTTTCTACTACTGGCCAGCACAGTTAAGGAGTTCACAGCTTTCACTCTCTGTTAAATTGAAATGGGAAGCCAAAGGCTTCAAGTAGATAATATTTAATTATTTAATTAAAAAGTATTAATATTGGGAGAATAAGTCTCTCTGGGTGCATCCACTCAACACCCTATGGTGATGTAGCAACATACTACGTCACCATACAGTGCGCTATGGTGATGTAATGATCACGCGGGTCTACACATGATCGCCAACTACTTCACTGTAGCGGCGCACTCCCCTGGTATAGTGTCCCGCTATGGCAATGTAGTGGCAAAATCTACCTGTACACTGCACACACGGCACAGTAACCACCTGTACTGAGCTGTGCTTTAGTGCTTCCTTTTGGAAGTGCCATAGCAATGCTGCCATATGGCGACATGTAGACGCACCCTCTGTTTCTTAGATAAAAGAAGATGGCTAAGTAAGAGATCCTGTGTTAAGTAGCAGCAAAGGTTAACTTCACTCCTAATGGCAAGTGCAGTTAAATAAAATTAATGATAATTAAATGGTAATTTTTAATTAGGTCACACAAAATATAGTTTGCCTTTGCAGTGCTCTTAGACCTGATCTTATTCCCCCGGTTTCAGTAGTAGAAATCCTATTCAGCTTCAGCGGTATGAGAATAACATTTTCTTTCATTTGGCTCATGTGCCTTCACAGCGTGGTGGATCAGGATCTACTAGAGCGAGAAGCCTGTGTAAATCAGTCACTGGCATGGGATTGTATGTGCTGCTATGTATGATGTCCTGAGATCAAACGGAGCATTCCATTGGCCTTCCTTCTTCTGGCCTCCTCAACAAATCCACATAATTGTACCTGTATTCAAATAACCCATCTAAGCTGGAAACTTTTGCTATTAATGTAACACCCACACACATTTGGGGCAGTGTGCGGTCAAGTGTGTTCTGGTTTTATTTTGCTGTGTATCTTGTTTGTGCTGTATATTTTGTTTCCACTAGGACTGGAGAGACCCACCTCCCACCCCCTATCCCCTTTTTGTGTCCAGACCCCTTGTCTTAAGATTTCTCAACAGAACTTGTAAAACCAGTTGAGTGACTCTGGCCAAATCCTGGTGTGCTGACCCCCTTTGAATTGATTGGTCTGTATTAACTGTGTTCCAGTGAGGCACCTTTTTTGCCCAGGGCCCTGGATAAGGTCAGAAAAATTATTTAAGGTTGAGGCCACCTGAACTGGTCCCTCTTCCTCCTGGGGCTACCAAAGCCTGAATGCTGATTTGGGAGTCAGAGGGGCCTGTTTCCTATGGGGGGTGCAGGTCACCTTTTGCTGTGACTCAGCAGTCAGGCAGGTTTGCTCAGAACTAAAGTGTGTAAACCTTAATGAAACTTAAAACTCAGTACATTTTATAATGTCTGTAATGAATCCTGAAACAAGGTTTATTTCCTGTGGTTTAGGGTCCTCGTTACTAACATTTCACACAGCTATTTCTCACACAATAGAGGAGATTTAGATCATGACCTCTTCTAAAATGCCAAACCTTCATGTATGTCATCACAAACTGCGGTTTCCATTGATTTCCAGCCTTTTTTTATGCAGAACATCTTTTATTCATCCACATGGCTGTGATTCTATGATTCCTGTTTTGGTGAGCATTATTTACTGAACCACAAAGCAAATAGT